ATTATGGGACTTCCTCAAAAAATTTTTATAATTTTTCTATTTATGGCAAAAGCTTTTGGTTTCCCATTTACAGCGGTGGTGTGAGTTTCTTCTTCGAACATGTTCGATTAAAAAAAAAAATAAGCTGATAGGAAAAAAATCAAGCCATGACAATATAAATGATTTTGGCTGGGATATGACAAAAATGGTGAGAAGTTACCTAAGCTTGGGAAGCACTGGGTTATGGCATCAAAAAACAGGGAACTTCAGCTAGAAAATGCTTTCTTGCTGAGCAGAATGATGTCATCCTCTGATGGCATTCCATGACTCTCTGCCCACCCGCTGGGAGATACGATGGAGGGAGAGAGGAGCATGGCAGGGAGAGTGTGACTCCCAAAGCTCCTACTATTTCCTGTCCCTGTGTGGACACGTCCTGCTGATCCCAGACGAATGAGGAGTGAGTCTCCTCCATCTCACCCCCAGGACTGCTGTTCCATTGAAAAACTAGGGACACCTGCTCTGTCCAGTATGGTCGCCACAAGTCACCTGTCGCTGCGTGGCGAGTCCAAATTAAAGATGTCGTACTCATAAACTACAGGCCAATTGCAACTCATTTTTTTAAGGAGCATAAAATATCTTGTGAGAAATGTTTTATGGTGACTGCATGTTGAAACGATAATGTTTTGTGTAGACTGGGTTAGTTAAAATATATTACTAAAATTACTTTTATTACCTGTTTTCTTTTTCAAAGCAGCTAGTGGAAATACTTTAAATACCATATATCTGCTGGATGGCGCTGATCTAGATCCCCTAATTTTTTTTTTAAACCGTTTGAATGAAGCAACCACCAATGCCCGTTTACATCTGGCAGGGTTTTAAAAAAAAAAAAAAAAATAGAATCCTTGTGGTTGGTAATTGTCTAGAAACTTCACAAGGAAACAATTTCATAGAAATATGACCTGCATCTTTCAAGTTCGGCAGAGCTGTTGCAACCTTGGGCTTTGTCATCAGATCTAAGCAAGGACTCATTTTAGACTAAAACTCCTCCCCCTTTCACAACGGCTAACAGGACAAAACCAACCTGTCTCTCAGTGCTTCATGCTTCAAGTCAAGAAGTAAAGGAATTGAGTCTTTGAACGCCTTCATTTTTGCTTCTAAATGGAAGGCCACTGATAAGTTTCGGACCTGCCGGGGTAGCTTTCTGAGGGACTTGAGAAAACCTTCGATTCCTTCCTGGAGGAACTGAACATTCAGGTTGATCCAGAGGGTCTGAGACCATTCTTCTTTTGCAACCTGGAAATGGGTGAGAAATAGGCTCATCAACAAGGCCCCTTTGACCGGCGGGAGCCAGTACTCAACCCTTGGTCACGCTCACTTCTTTGCCAGTAGGATCGCCCATCTATCCACAAAAACCTCAGATTCACAAAAGGAAGTATTGGTTACTGGCTCCAAAATACAAACAAAGGAATTCCAACTCTTTCGAGGCCTGGCCAAAATAATGCTGCTAAGATTACAAAATACTTACAATTTAGATAATCCTGCCCGATTATCATAATCAGCATTTTGTGCTGAATTTCCTGAGATTTAAAAAGTACTATCTTGCATAAAATTTACCATCTTGGATAATCTGCATTTGCAACCTGTGACATCGAGGTTCCGATGGAGTTGCTTCGAGTCACGAAACGTATTTAACAGAAAATTGTGTTAATTGATGAAATATACATATGGTAATTTTTTTGACTTAGATGTAAATGACATTAAGACATTTACAATTTTTCTTTTTGTCTTCTAAAAAGATATTAAAAGCTCAAATACCTTTTTGATTATTTTGAGATGACATTCATGAATCATGAACTTTTTGCAAAAATTTAATGAGAGATGAATCAGAAAGAAACTAAAGTACTTCTTAGGAGTTCTTACACCTAAACGTACAGCCTGTCCATCATTAAAGGGTCTTTCTCTCCCCTCTCTCACTGACACGTTTGAAAAACCTCAATGGCAGTTAAATCCACTCCTTGGTATTTGTTCAAGTGTCAACGCCTACACAGCGCATATGCTCTGCCTTCCCCGTATGACCTACTTATCACCATGTTTCCTCCTTACTGGATCATTCCCATCACTATACAGTTCCCATTGTTATTTCTCCCATCTTAAAAAAATTGTCCTGACCCCCCATCCCTTCCACCTAACCGCTCCTCATTTCTCTGCTTCCCTTTGCAACCAAACACATTGGGAAAGCTGTCTAGATTTGGCGTTTCTGATTCCTCTCTTCCCATTCTTTTTTCATCTTTATTGGGGATTAACTGGCATACACAACTGGACATATTTAGACGCCCAATTTGCTAAGTTCAGGCATGTGTGCATACCCATGAGACCATCACCACAGTCGAGATCGTGAACTTGTTCACAGCTCTCAAAAGTCTCCTCCTGCCTCTCTGTAACCCCCCTCCCACCCCCAGACACATGGCCCTGCTTTCTGCCATGATAAATTCATTGGCATGTTCTAGAATTTTATGCAGATGGAATCATACAGGATGTACTCTTTGGTATCCCAGCAAGATGATTTTGAGACCCATCCATCTTGTTGCCCTAGTACATCAATAGTTCAATCCTTTCTACTACCTTCTCACATTCCATGGGATGGACGTGGCACGGCACTTACCCATTCACTTGGTGGATATCTGGGTTTCTAGTCTTGGGCTATTACAAGTAAACCTGCTGTGAACATTGATGTAAACGTCTTTGCAGGGACTTATGCTTTCTTTTCTTTGGGGCAAATATCTCGGACTCACTCTAATCAGGCTTCCACAGCTACGACTCCATCGAAAGGTTTCCAAGATCACAGTGGCCTCCGTGATGTGAAATTCAGCGCTCATTCCACACCACCTCTTACCTGATCTGATGCAGTGTTTGGTGCAGTTGGACAGCCTGGAAAGACTATTTTCACTTGGCTTCCAAGACATTCTACTCACCTGTTTGTCCTCCTACCACCGAGGCCCCTCCTCGTTCTCCTTTCCTTTTGGGGCATCTTCTTGTGGTATTTGATATTGGAGTGCCCCAAGCTCAATTCTTGTTCTTCTCCTCCACGTACCCCACTCCTCACTGTACTGGGCTGAAGAGTGTCCACCCCCCACCGCCGCTAGAACTCACATCCCCCTGGAACCTCAGAATGTGGAGATCAGGATTTGCGGATGGAGATCAGGATTTGCAGATGGAATTCATTAAGAGGAGGTCATGCTGAAGTAGGACGGGCCCTAAATCCAATGACTGCACCAGGAAAAAACCTGCCCCTGGTTCAGAGCCTTGCTCAAATGCCACCTCCCTGAGCCACCGCCTTCCTCCCCTGGGCCCCGTGGTGCTCTTGATAAGGGAATTCTGTGTCTTAAGATGGCCAGCAAAGGAGTCCCAGCCCCTGCCCCGGGGCTCTTCCAGGTCCTTTGTTCTGCTCTGCTTCCCGCGCTCCAATCCAGGTTCTTCTCCCTGCCCGCTTCCTTCAGGAGCCTAAAGTGCCAAGTATGCGGATGTAGATGTAGATAAATTGCCCCTTTGTTTGTGCTCGGGGCTCAGACCTTTGGAGACCACTCTCCTCTGAGCCTGCCGGCGTTAAACAAACCTCCAATCCTACAAGATCTCCGGGTGCCGCTTGGATCTTCCGTTGGGCCATCCAGTCCAGGTTCTGTAACACTCTGTCTACTGTATTCCTATTACACATCAGAGCAATATGGTGATTTGTTTGCGGGTCAGGGTGACGGTTAATTTTATGTGTGAACTTGACCGAGCCACAGGTGCGCGGACATTTGGTTAAACATCATTCCGGACAATGTTCCCCAGGGTGTTTCTGGGTAAGATTAACATTGGAATCAGTAGCCTAAGTAAAGCAGATTTCCCTCCCCACTGAGGGTGGCCTCATCCAATCCACTGAAGGACTGGAGAGAAAAAGACTGAGTAAGAACTCTCTCTCTCTCTCTGCCTGTCTTCAGGCTGGGACATCCGTCTTCTCCTGCCTTTTAGTTCAGACCTGAGCCGGAACTACACTATCAGCTCTCCTGGGTCTCCAGCTTGCCAACCCCACATCCTGGGGTTTCCAGTCTCCAACAACTCTATTTGGTGGGACGCCTGGCTGACTCAGTCAGTAGAGCATGTGACTCTTGATCTTGGGGTCATGACTTTGAGCCCCATATTGGGCACAGAGTTTACTTTAGATAGATTAGGTAGATAGATAGAGGATAGATAGTGAGATAGAAAGAAAGAAAAGGAAGAAAGGTCCATCTATTTGGTGCCTGATGGTTCTGTGTCTTGGGAGAACAAATTAAAACAGTCAAACTCTCGTGGGGCTCAAGAGGGCAGAAATGGAAAGGGCAGATGCAACTCCTTTCCAGACCCTATTCTCCAACTAGCACAGCACTGGGCTGTACAGAGCAGAGGGAATAGATGGAGGGATGAATAAATGAATGGCATGAATTTGCATGGGGAGCATATATGCAAGAGGGTATCCAAATGTCATGATAGTTGCTACTTTTTTTAAAAAAAGATTTTATTGATTTATTTGAGAGAGTGAGGGAGAGAGTGCATGAGACTGGGGCAGAGGGAGAGGGAGAAGCAGACTCCCTGCTGAATAGGGAGCCCAACCCAGGGCTGGATCCCAGGATCACAACCTGAGCCGAAGACAGACGTTTAACCAACTGAGCCACCCAGGTGCCCCAATAACTGCTTTTAATTTCCACTTCAAACTAAATGGTTCACCCCACTCCTTAACCAAGCCCCAAGCACCAAAGAGTGTGTTCTTTTTCATTATTGTGGCAAAATACACCTGACATTTACCATTTTAAGCACTTTCACACACGTATGATTCAGTGGTATCAAGTATATTCACCATGTTATGCAATCATCACCACCATCTAGTTCCACAACTTTCTCCCCAAATGGAAACCCTAAAGCCATTGAATATCGCTCCCCATCACTTCTTCCCAAGAGCCAAAGTGAGAGCTTCTACAAAATTGGCCCCAGGCTCTTTATCATGGTGGCCTCACAATCCACTGAGCCTAGTCGGTTCTCACACTGCCTTCAGTGAGGGGTACACTAACCTTTAGTCCTTCGTAGAGCTCATAAATGGTCCTCAGCCCATTCATTTCCTTCTGCACTTTGAGCAGCTCTGGATACATTGTAATTGGAAGATCAAAAAGTTTCTCAGCATTAGCCAACTCCTGACGGTTCTTTTCATGTTTCATGAGCTCTTTTTCAAAAGTGGCTAAAAGTTCTACTCCTGGTGATTAAGTAAAGACATAGATTAATGAGTGCATAAAAATACAAGGTACACAAAATTAAGAAATCACAGGCAATGTACATAAACTATCATTCCATCCACAGAAGCCATCTGGGAAGGCATGTCTGGAATTACCACAACTTTATTTCTCTGTCATTCTAACAGAAATCAGAGGGCCAGGTACATACGCAAAATTCTCCAGTTAGAAAATTCTGTCTCCTGGGCGCCTGGGTGGCTCAGTGGGTTAAGCAACTGCCTTCGGCTCAGGTCATGATCCCAGAGTCCCGGGATCAAGTCCTGCATCAGGCTCCATGCTCAGCAGGGAGTCTGCTTCTCCCTCTGACCCTCCCCCCTCTCATGCTATCTCATTCTCTCTCTCAAATAAATAAAATCTTTAAAAAAAGAAAATTCTGTCTCCTTCACATTTATCCCTCTAAGTGGCCTCAACCTGGGCTGCACGTTAGAATCCCCATGGCATCCGGACCACCCTCCAAAACAATGGGATCAGACAATTCAAATCTGGGCCCCAGGCATCCGTGGGCTTTTGGGATCCTCAGGTGAACCCAGTGTACAGGCAAGGTTAAGAACTACTGCTCCAGGGCGCCTGGGTGGCTCAGTCGTTAAGCGTCTGCCTTCGGCTCAGGTCATGATCCCGGGGTCCTGGGATCGAGCCCCACATTGGGCTCCCTGCTCAGCGGGAAGCCTGCTTCTCCCTCTCCCACTCCCCCTGCTTGTGTTCCCTCTCTTGCTGTGTCTCTCTCTGTCAAATAAATAAATAAAATCTTAAAAAACAACACTGCTCCATTCCATCATCCCATAAAATTCTTAAGCAAAACATACTCAAGTACCTCAGTAAGTCCAACGGAATATTCTTACCTTTATCAAGATCATCACCAACAGAACCAGGGCCTTCACGATAAAAACACTTTGCAAAATCCTCTATCTGCTGTCTATAGTTTGATATTTCACCTCGAGTAATCTGAGAGGGGCAGGATTGCATTAATTTATCCCAATGGATATTTGTCAATATCTTTACTCAGAAAGTAAAAAATTTAAAAGGTACCTCTGTGAAAGTTCTCTTGATGCCCCCAAGAGCATGCTCCACATTCACTGAATCATTAAACAGATTTGACCACATGCTTTCAATGTTGTCAACCAGTTCTTTCTCTGCATCAGAAGGCTAATAAAAAGATTTCAAAAAAAAAAACAGAACAAACAATAAATGGTCTGCAATTTGGAAATGAAATCCTGGTCAAAGCTACTTCCCAGGGATTTCTGCTTCTGATAACTAGGTCATTTGAACCCAAGAGAAAACTGCTTGAATTAGAAAAAAATTATATATTTATAATGCAAACATCAGGATAAAATCACATTTAAAAATAAGTAGATAATACAGATAGAAAGAGAGGTAACCTAGAGAGATAAGCCCTTCATAAACTAAAACCCAGCTTCAAATCAACAATCTCTAATTAAAACAAGGTTATCTTAGTTTGCTGATGCATCCAGCTGTGCTGTCAGAAGCAAAAACAAATCTCCTGATGAAATATAACAACATCTAGAGCCTCCAATTCTCTCTACAAATTTGTTACGTACAATGTCCAGAAATCAATCAGAAATAACAGGTACGTAAGGAGCAAAATGACTTGAAGGAAACCAAAACACACAGACAATATAAGCAGACCATAATGGAGTTCTAAGACACAGACTTTTAAATAATTTTACTTAATAAAGGAAAGCAAAGACAACACTGAGAACTTTTATTTTAATTAAAAAATATAAATTTTGCACACTGTGCATTTTTCTGATGAAAGGATCTCTAGCTTTTCAGGCTACTGCTCAGTGAAGGTGTTCAAAGAAGTCAAGCAACATAAATGCTGAAATACAAGTTTTATGCAAATGTAGACTTATAACAATTACTTGCTGCTTCTTTCTAGTCTGTTTTTCCAGCTGATTCTTTTTGAGTGTATGGGATGCACAGCATGCAAAATTTTGCACGCAGTTTCACGGAGATGCCACCCCCCCCTTCAAACTCCTCTATGGACTTCTAAAGGTCCTTGAAACCACCCTGAATGACTCCAAATAAAGACGATTGAATTATTATCCTCTGTTTCTTTTATCGTCTTATACCTCTCTGAGTCTCCCTCCCTCACTTCTTATCATTTTTGCAAGAGCCTTTTATTTATTAGAGGAAGTTAACACCAAAAGAAGAAAGGAGGGAGGAGGAGGAAAGGAGGAGGAGGAGGAGGAGGAGAAGGAGGAGGAGGAGAAGAAGGAAAAGGAGAAGGAGGAGAAGAAGGAAGAGGAGAAGGAGGAGAAAAAGGGGGAGGAGGAGAAGGAGAAGAAGAATCAACATGGTGTGCAGTTACAGATCTACGAAAAATATTTGAGCCATGCAAGATCAAGAAATAATCTCTGCTTTCATTATTCTAAATAACTGTGGGGTTGCTTTACATTTAAATTTTATTAAAGTCATATTTGAGAAGTATGTCTGAAAAAGGTCTTATAAGTCAACCCAGCTGTAAAATGCTTAAGAAAATCGTTCACTCGGGCGCCTGGGTGGCTCAGTCGGTTAAGTGGCTGCCTTCGGCTCAGGTAATGATCCCAGGGTCCTGGGATCGAGTCCCGCATTGGGCTCCCTGCTCTGCGGGGAGCCTGCTTCTCCCTCTCCCTCTGCCTGCTTCTCTGCCTACTTGTGTTCTCTCTCTGTCAAATAAATAAATAAAATATTTAAAAAAATCGTTCACTCACAAAGACATTATACATTGCCATGGTGCGGTATCGCTCCTGGACATCCCTGTATCTCAGTTCCATGACCAGAGATTTACTTCTAATTTCTGCAATGGTGGCAAGGACAAACTTAAGGTCTTCAAGGGTGCTAGGGCTCTTCTTCAGGTTCTTGGCCAGCCTCTAGAAAAGAAAAGTCCAAGGACACAAAATAAACCTAGAAAAAACCTGACTTTCATGAGAGGCAGTTTCATTAAACCCAGTGATCCACTACCTCCATCTCTTCATGGAGATTATAGAGCTCCTCCTTTGCTGACTCATTGAGAAGCTTTCCAAGTGAGGTCACCCAGGACTTGGCATTTTCCTGCACCGTGTTCGCCAGGGGCCCTAGCTGCAGCCTGATGCAGTGCTCATCCTTAATTAAAGGGTGGCGCAGGACATCATAGGCTATCTTGGAATAGAACTGCAACTTTTCATCATACGCCACACAAGGAGGTTTCTTGGCGGCGAACTTCTCCATCACAATGGCTTTGTCCAATTTCCATAGAGGTCGATACCTCTTCCATTTTTGGAGGTACTTCATAAGACTAATCAGAATCCTGTGGACACTTTGGGGGATCATAACAGCTTGTTCAATTATCTGAGGGTTCAGGGAAATATCATTGTAAAAGCTGATTATAACAAGTTCTTCTTCCTCCCCCTTCTGAGGAGGGCATTCGATGCAGCTGCCGTTCATCCATCGAACAAAATGCTGGCAAAAGAAGAATCAGGGGAAAAGACAGCACTTCAGTATTTATTTTGCTTCCTATGTATATATTCATATTCAGGAATAAGTCTTGCTAATAATGGAAATCACTTTATTATTTTTTTCCCCTTCACATTTTTACTGTGGTAAAAAAAACACATGACAGAAAATCTGCCATTTTGGCCATTTAGAATGTTTATAATTCAGTTACACTAAGTACATTCATAATGCTGTACAACCCTCACGATAACCTCATTCTAGAAGTTTCTCATTACCACTAAATTACCTATTAGGAGTTACTCCCCATTTCTCCCATTCCCTAGCCCATGGCAATCACTATTCTACTCTCTGCCTCTATGAGTTTGACTTATTTTTAAATTTTTTTATTTAAATTTTAAACATACAGTGCAATATTGGTTTCCCTATGGAATGGGAGAAGATATTTGCAAATGGCATATCTAATAAAGGGCTAGTATCCAAAATCTATAAAGAACTTATCAAACTCAACACCCAAAACACAACCTAGTTAAGAAGTGGGCAGAAGGCATGAACAGACAAAGGCGACATCCAGATGGCTAACAGACACATGAAAAGATGCTCAATGTCACTCATCTTCAGGGAAATGCAAATCAAAACCATGATGAGATACCACCTCACACCTGTCAGAATGACTAAAATTAACAACACAAGGAACAACAGGTGTTGGCAAGGATGCAGAGAAAGGGGAACCTTCCTGCACTGTTGGTGAGAATGCAAACTGGTGCAGCCAGTCTGGAGAACAGTATGGAGGGTCCTCAAAAGTTCAAAATAGAACTACCCCACAATCGAGCAATTGCCTACTAGGTATTTACCCAAAGGATACAAAAATAGATTCAAAGGGGTACATACATCCTGATGTTTATAGCATCATCAGTACCATAGGTGGAGCTAGAATATATAATGCTAAGCGAAATAAGTCAATCAGAGAAAGACAAATACCATATAATTTCACTCTTATGTGGAATTTAAGAAACAAAACAGATGAACATACGGGAATGGGGAAAAAAAGGAGAGAGGGAAACAAACTATAAGAGACTCTTAACGATAGAGAACAAACTGAGGGTTGATGGAAGGAGGTGGGTGGGGGATGAACTAGATGGGCGATGGGCATTAAGGAGGGCACCTATGGTGATGAGCACTGGGTGGTGTATGTAAGTGATGAATCACTGAATTCTACTCCTGAAATCACTTTATTAATAAATTGTGCTAGATTGCAAAAATAACCACAATTTTGGGACTCGAGTCCCAAAGCTCGCAGGCCAGCTGTCGGTGGCAACGAGCCCCTGTGAAGCCACACAGACGCGTCCGCCCTTACCTTGGTGATCTCCACACAATTTCGGACGCAGTGGACGCACATTTTGTCGATCTCGTTTGCATTGGGATGCAGGATGATCTCAGGAGCCGTCAGAATGGTGTCCGTTTGAAACAACGGAACGTTCCCAAGGATTAGAGAATTAAAAGACTGCAGATTCCTAGGAGGGGTTAATAAAAGAGACCCAGGGCTCACTGGACTGAAGTACAACCAACACTCGAATGAAAGAGCCGGCGTCACCGAAGTCACATGTGAAAGCCCACTGTGAGGACTACCACATGCAGCGTTGGTAAGGGACAGGGTATGCTGAGTTTCCTTATGCGCCCCTGTTTGGGCCTACATTTTTCAATAGCTCATTTCTACTTTTGGGAAGTGAATATCTTGTAGTTGGAAGACACTTAAATAACAGTGATGACTTCCAGAAAATGTTCCACCTGTTTCAGGAAAAACCGTCTTCACACTGGCTTTGTCTTCCCCCAGGAAGTCCCTCCCTCTTGTAGCTCGCTCCTTGTCTTCAGGATTCAGCTCAAACACGGCCTCTGGAAGCCTTTCTTGACCACTCAGTCACAACAGCTGCTCCGTTTTCTCCCAGGAACCCTATTCTGCCTTATTTCTTTCACAGAAATCATCTTGGTTATGTCTGGTTCCTTGTGTTTTGTGTCTCTCCTATGAGGATGGAGAAGCACCAGAAGGACAGGGGCCCTGTCTGGTCCAGTGCCTGGCATGTACAGGCTCTAAGAAACCTGTGAATGAATGAATGAATGAATGAGTGCATGGATGGATGGATGGATCAGAGGAAAACATAGCATATTAGAAAGGGAAACACTGCAGGAGGTGCCCTATGTAAGGGGCTGCTGCAGGAATCTAAGAAGCAACAATTAAAAAAATGAAACGTGTAGAAAACAGATCTTTGTAAAGGATCAACTTAGTGAAATTTGTCAAACTGGGTCCAGGAAGCAAGACAACCAAAGGTGTTTTATTTATTAATGTCTTGTTCCAAAATAGATTTTAGCAGCTCACAAAAATAACTGCAGTAAGAGATCCTAAAATCAAAGTGGGATAAAATAAGAAAGGAGACACTAATCACAGATGTTTAATGAAGTGATAACTGACCCAGGTTCACATCCTAGCCCTTCTTCTTACTAGATGTGTGTGTGGCCCTAGGCAAGTCACCTATTCTCCCTACAGTCTGTGTCTGAAAAATGGGGATGAGATTGTAAAGAGTGTAACACGAGCCTGGTGCACAGTAAGTTCCCATATATGATAGATTTAAATATATATATGTAGAGTCAAGAATGAGACAATGCAAACATAAATACCTATACACTTGCTGCACTTAGGCTACAAATTTCATTGAGTTTCCCAGCAGCCAAGGAGAAAAGGGAAAGCTGTACAGTCAACAATTCATAGACTCCACACCATTTAAAAACAAAACAACAAAAAAATGAAGGACAAAAAGAAAACTACTTTTTCAGGAGGCTAAGATCAGAAGGGACGCTGGAGAAATTTCTTCTGGGGTTCTTCACAAAGGGGTTGCATGATGAAATGAACACCATCTTTGACAATATGGAGGTAACAGTCCCAGTGATGAAGTTCCTAGGCTGCATTCCTAGAATGATCCTAAGTCAATGCAATGAAGCCCAGGCAGTCAGCTTTCACCTGGCCTAGCTGAGGTGCTGGGCTGTGGGCTGAGACCTCTAGGGGGGTCAGGAGAGCCTTGTCTGTTGTGAGGCTGGCCCACATGACAGGCATTCAACACATGTGTGATGCCCATAGCAGCCAGGGATTTACTGTAGACCATCAGGGAGAGTAATTGGCTCATATGTCCTTCAGTTCAGCCTCTCTCAATACAGGGGAGGGCATCACCTAGGATTTGAGTAATACTGAGCAACAGGAATTCTCTGTAAGAGAATTCGCTGTAAGAGAAAGACACATGTATGTCTTTCAGATAGTTGAAGTGGGGAGAGGGATCATTTCCTTTTCCGAATGTTGAGCCAAAATGGAAAGTCACCCTTCCATCCTGTGAGCACCCTTAAACCAGAAAGCAGACTGTCCAAATGATTTCTATTCTGCATTTTGTGACTCCCTCTTTAACTATTCATATATGTAAACTATTTTAATCTATGCACCCTGTCTTTAAGACAAGCAACAAGATTAACTTACTTCAGGATGAGCTTTGTCAAGACCTCATAAATTTTATGTTCCCAGTATTCGTAATAGGAGGCCAGCTTAGGAGCCTTGCCCGTGTTGGTGTGGATGACCAGACCCTCGACTTTGGTCAGTAGAGGCCCAATGGCAAGATACCACCTGACCATGTGATCCACATCTTTGGCCCTTTCTCGTTCGATGTGCTCAAAGAATTCCTTCACGCCTAGAGAGCAAGACACCTGTTACCATTCTTCATGAACGCAGGAAAGGACATTACTCGCAAAGTAATCCAAACATTAGCTGTATCTCTTAGAAATACAAAACCAGTCTCTAACCGAGATTGAAAGCAGAAAATAAGTCAATACCAAAAGTCAAGACATGCCCTAAGCAAAAAATAAACGACAACATGGGAATGCCCATTGTGCATGCCAAAACAGACCACATACAAAAGATGACTTTTATACCTCTGGGCAATCTTGCTTTTCTTAAATTGCTTTTTGACTACTCTAAGACCACTTAAAATACCTTGTTGAAACAAGTAAATGTGAGTCCATAAAAACACAATCTACTTTACTGTTACAAAGTTATTGACAAGAGTACTACTGATTTTCACAGACTCAGGAATTTGTAAAACTGTCTAAGCAATATATAAAACATGGCAAAAAGCAAGAATTACTCATGATCCTTTCAAGTAAATGACTGAGATCTTTAGGAATGGTTTTATTCCGTTCGTGGAATAAATGTGTGTGTGAGTATGCGTGCAATCATAACCAACAGGTTCTTTTCATTTCTTCTGTAATCAGAGAAACAAGAAATCATACCTACCTGGGAGATCTTCCTCACTTTTAGGTGCAGGATATTTAAAGAGATTTATAGACTCTATTAATGTAAGCCTGTTAGAAATGTCATCTGCATTCTTATGAATCTGGTGGACAAGGGACTCAAATTTCCCAATGGCCTGTTTGCACCGAGTTATGTAGTCAGCAATACCTTTGGGGAAAAAAAGGAGAACGAGAAAAAGATATTTGGCTTTCAACTCTTTCTTTCCATACCCTGCCCACCAACATCTGGAAGGTTAATACTGGCATCCCTTCACAGGAAAGACCCTGCTCATCTCATCCCTTTGGGTCTTTGTGGTGGCAAACAAACACTTAGCACTTTTAGGGACCAGGACAAGGAGCCCTGTTCTCAGAATCAACCAGGGACGCCTGGGTGGTTCAGTCGGTGAGGCGTCCACCACCTTCGGCTCAGGTCATGATCCCAGGGTCCTGGGATCGAGCCCCACATTGCGCTCCCTGCTCAGTGGGGAGACTGCTTCTCCCTCTCCCTTTGTCCCTTCCCACTGTTTGTGCTCTTTCTCACTCACTCTCTCGCTCTCTCGCTCTCAAATAAATAAAATCTTCAAAAAAAAAAAAAGAATCAAGAAATGATAAATTTTCTCTGTTCAGATTTTAGCTAATCATCATCTAACGCACTGTGAGGAGAAAGAGAAGGTGCAACCCTGCTGTCTTCCCACTGCCATGGAAGCATGAACCCTCCACTCTACCCTAACCTGCCTCCAGTCTCCTTTGGCCTGTTGCTTAGAAAAGTAGCCAGCAATAACATGAATAGTAAACCTGGATTAAGAACATGTAATTTGTCAGGTAGTGGTCTAAACATGTTACTATGTCATCAAATTTTTACAACAATCCTGTGGATTGGGTACTAAGATTATGCTGACTTTACAGATGAGGACACTGAGCCTCTACAAGGTTGAGTCACATGGGGAGAGCTGGACGTTTAACTCTGGAGCCCAAGTCCAAATATACATGTTCTCCATACAAAGGAGAAGGGAAGAAGAGAAGGAAATGACAAGGAAAAGAGGACAGAATATTTGAAAAGAAGGAAAAAAGATTAAAAATGCCTTGCTTATTTAAAATAGTAAAGGGCACGTGTCGTAATGAGCTCTGGGTGTTATACGCAAATAATGAATCCTGGAACACTACATCAAAAACTAATGATGTACTGTATGGTGACTAACATAATAAAAAAAATAAAAATAAATAAAAGTAAAGGGAGGGTGCCTGGGTGGCTGTTGGTTAAGCATCTGCCTTCGGCTCAGGTCATGATCCCAGAGTCCTGGGATCGAGCCCCACATCAGGCTGCCTGCTTGCAGAGAGCCTGTTTCTCCCCCTCCCTCTGCCTGCTGTTTCCCCTGCTTGTGTGCACCCTCTCTCTGTCAAATAAATAAAATATTCAAAAAAATTTAAATTAAAAAGTAGAGGGAACTTCTACTTCTAAGAAGAGGGAGTAGACATGCTTTTCCTTATTCCTCCTGCTAAAGATAGTTAAGAACCCTGCACATTATCTATAAAACAAATATAAAACTCTAAAAAATAGAGAAGAAGAGAGTAGAAGCCAACCAGCTAGGGACCTTGGGACCTGAAGAATGAGTTCCCTGGGTTCCTTTTCCTTCTATATCTCAGACTTTGAGCTTAAGAAGTTGGCAACCCATAAATGCCAAAGCCCCAAAAAAGCCTGCTCTCCCTAGCCAAAGCACCAGGAAAGGGACATCCTGGCAAGACAAAAAATTTTACACAGTAACTGCTCTACTCTAGCCAAACACCATAGAAAAAACTGTGACCTCACCCAAGCCCTTGCCAATAAGGACCAGTTGGGGGGCCTAGACTCCCACCTTCTTAATACTGTGATGAGGTACCCCAACCCCTCTGCTCCTCATGCCTGCCATGGTAGTATCAGAGAAGGCCATGGAGGTAGAAGGGATTATGTACAAAAAATTAATTGTATCTCTATGAACTAACAACAAACACGTAGACACCAAAATTAAAAACACAGTATCATTGACAACCACTCAACAAAAGATTAACCACTTCCGCATAAATCTAACAAAACATGTACAAAACTTGTATGTTGAAAACTACACAGTGCTAATGAAAGAAATCAAAGATCTAAATAAATGGAAAGATATACCATATTCATGGATTGCAAAGCTCAACATAGTACCGATATCAATTTTCCTCAAATTATATACAGAGCTAACATAACTCCTAGCAAGCATTTTTTGGTAGATATAGACAAGATTATTCTAAAATTTATATGGAAAAGCAAAGAACTAGAACAGCCAAAACAATTTGCTTAAGAAAAAAAATGAGAAGAATCAACCTAGTCAATTTCAAGACTTATACCATATAGCTACAGTAATCAAGACTGTGATACTAGCAGAGGAATAAACACATAGATCAATGGAAAAAAATAAAGAACCCAGAAGCAGACCCATACAAATATGCCCAGGTAGTTTTTTTTTTTAACAAAGATGCCAATTCAATTTAATGGAAAAAGTTAGCCTTTTCAATAAATGATGCTGAAGCAATTGGAGGAGGGGGAGAGAAGGAAGAAGAAAAGGAGGAAGGAGGAGGAGAAATAAACTTCAACTTAAGTCTCGCACTTTGTACAAAAAAATTAACTCAAGATTGATCACAAACTTAACTGTAAAATATAAAATTATAACATATTTAGAAAAAAAATAGAAGAAAGTCTTTGGGATGTAGGTTGAGGCAAAAAGAGTCCTTAGACTTGACACCAAAAGCATGATCCATAAAAGGAAAACTTGATAAAATGGGGTTCTCAAAATTTTAAACTTTCAGTCTGCAAAAGACACTGTTAGGACAATGAAAACACAAGCTACGGAGTGGGAGAAAATATGTGCAAACCACATATCCAACAAGGGGCTAGTATCTAAATATATAAAGAACTCTCAAAACTCAAAGTAAAAAAGCAAACAGTATAATTAGCAGAGGGGCAAAAGACATAGACATTTCACCAAAGAAGACACACAGAGGCAAACAAGCACATGAAACCATGCTCAACATCATTAGCCAATACAGAAAGGCAAATAAAAAGCACAATGAGACCATTACACAGCTATGCAATTTAAAAAACAGTGACAATACCAAAATGCTGGCCAAGACCCAGAAAAAAATGGAACATACATTGCTGATGGAAATGTAAAATGGCACAGCTACTCTGGAAAACACCACGGCAAATGATAACAACAACAATAATAAAGCCTAAACATGCAAGTAGCACAGGACCCAGAAATTGCACTCCTGAGCATTTATCCCAGAGAAATGAAACTCATGTTCACATAAAGCCCCACACACAAATATTTTTCTAGCACAAATGTTTACTCACCATAGCCAAACCTGGAAACGATCCAGGTATCCTTCAACAGGTGAATGGCTAAATTAGGGCACATCGATACCATGGGATTCTAGCCGCTAAAGGAACACACTACTGATACATGTAACAACTTGGACAACCTTCCAGGGAATTATGCTAACAGAGAAAAGCCAACCCAAAAAGGTTACGTACAATTTCATTTATATAACACTCTTGAAATCACAAAATTATAGACATGGAGAGCAGATTCCTGGTTGCAGGGCTTGGGGCTAGGAAAGAGTGAAGTGGATATGACTTTAAAAGGGCAACATGAGTTCCCCCTGCAGTGTGGAAATGCTCTGCATCTCAACTGTATCAATGTCAATGTGTCTGGAGTGTGAGTTGTACTACAGTTTTGCAAGAAGTTACCATTGGGGGGAGACACTGAGTAAAGCATACACAGCACCTCTATTAATCCTTACAACTGGGTGTGAATCCACAAATTATTTCAAAATTAAAATTTTAATATTAGAAAAATATTAGGAAAAAAGTAAAAGTCATTTTATTTTTGGAGGACAAAGGGTTGGGTCAGCAGTGTCCAAATGGCATCCTATCTGGTCTTCAGTCCCAACTAAAGCCTTGAGATTAATTCTAAGTTCCACCAAGTATAAATGATTAATGTTCAAATCTCAGGTGTTAGTGACATCTACATACACACAAAAATTATAATTCAACTAAAACAATCTAAAAAAAATTATTTTTGCATCCCGAAGTCTAAAAGGTAATAAATAGGTAGATGAATTATGTTACCTAGTGAGTTCCAGTTTAGCCTCTTATATCCAGACCTAAACACTCTTATTAATTCCTGGGAATGATCGTCGAGAAGAAGAGACTCTGCCTCATTTAACGTTCCTATGAGCATGTGATAATGATCCAACATACGCTGTACTCCTTCCGTGTACCTGTGCATCATAGGAAAGTCA